ACATGATTTTGTACAAAGTTTAATTGAGAGAAATGACACTTTTCAATAGTTCTGATTTTTCAAACTATTTACCATCATATAGTTTTCTTATTGTATTTATTTATAAGTATATACTATACATGTTACATAAACTACATTACATACGCATATATGAAATTCGGTTATAACGTTTTATCAAAATAAAATAATTTAGAAAATAAATATAAGTTGTGAGGAATAAGAAATAATAAAAAAAACTAAGTGTATGCACATTTTAGTGTACTTAATTTTGTATAATCTTATAAATTATAAATTATAATTATTGATAAATTGAATTTCAATGTTCAATATTTTATTTATAATAAACAAATAAAATTATATACGATTCATAGAATACTTTGTAGTTTCTAAGGTCATACTCCTGAGTTACAGCGGATAAAATAGAAAAAATATGAACTCAACGATAGATGAGAAATCATTTAAAGAGTAATAGTAATTTTTTTAAAATATCCAATTAACTATTTTAGCTTGCAAACGAATCGTAGACGTCTATAGGTTTTACAAATCGTGTTAAAATAAGAAATACTCTGTAAATAATATTTCCTATTCGTCTAATTTAATAATTTAAAAATCTTGATCATAAATTCTGAGTTAAGAAAGAAAATTTTTTAACAATGCGTTTTTTAATAGTTTTCAGATATGCATTTTAAAATACAAATAAAAACGCTTCCAAATATATTTTTCGTGAATCAATTACAAACAATAATTGGTACTCGTGTTTGTAGGTAAAATCAAAGAGAAAATAAAGAATATCATTTCATAAAAAATCTTTTTTATTTTGTACGTCTCCAACAGACTACGTTTAGCCTTTGATCTATAATTAAATACTGATCTAATATATGCGATACTATTCGTTCAGGTTTGTGCATCAGAAGTGAAACGAATGTATTTTGATACGCTTGTACTTAAATTACGTCCTAGGCAGTATAGGCACGTGTTCAAAACATAATATAACAAGTCCAAGGATTTTGACTATCGATCTATTTAGCCCATGATTATCTATACTGTAGATGCATACATGTACAGTCTTTGATATGTTATTCAACTAAAGTCGTTTTAAATATTATCAAGTAATTTTCGGGAAGTATGATCAAAATACAATCAGTACCCTATTTAAATTGTATAATTAATATAATGACGGAAATTACTAAATTGGGAAAGCATTCAACAGCTAGTACCTCTTGGATTTCAATCAAAGTGGCTTTTTTTATTGGACAGTCAATCCGATATTTTATAGTTTAAACCTCGATTTTTTATGATAAATGTTTAAACTTTGACGTCGCTTATGTACATGTATAAACGTAGTGCGTATTAACTTTTACACGTTTGTGTACTGCTGCATATGTAATAATAATACGTTTTGCTGTAACGTATATAAATAAGACAAATGGTGATAGGAGTGATGGGTTATTAAAAAATTATGCGGTTTCCGGTGTCGGCGGAGTCAACAATGTCGTTAAATGCTCTTGGACGTTTATGGATTCCAAGAACGAAGCGGATAGACAGCAAACCATCGTGTGGCAGGTTCGCTGATGATTTAAGTCCCACTTTGCCGGATTGTTGGCGAAAAACCGTTTTAGAGTAGGTCAGTGTATAGAGAGGTGTGTCCCACAATTACATTATAACGGATTATTTATGCAAAAATATATAATATAATATTGTCATTTGTTCCATTACTTTGCTTATAATAATAATATATAATGGTATAATATGTGCGTCATTTAATTGGCTGTGGTAAATAGCTATTATACTATTATTGTGTTATTATTATGTTTCACAAAGTCAATTTATTGTCAATTCAATTTAACAGTCAAATATGTCGAAAGGGACGATGATAAAGATGATCCAATTCATAAATTACCACAAAAAATACAAATAAATACGAATAGGATACTTGTTGAATCGTTGACATACGTTCCTCTTTTACGTATATATATGTATGCATATTGCATATACATACATTTATGATACAAGTTACAGAGTTGGATACCACATGATAGGATTATAGTGTAATCGTATTTTTTTTTTTTTTACATAATCGATGACGTTCAAGATATATTTACTGCAACTGTTCTCGTTTCTTATTCGAATCGATGAAAATAAATCAAACTCATGGTGGCCGAAGACTTTATTATAATTTATAATGTATGTATTTGGTATATTATTCACAATAATTGTATAAAAAAAACCACATCGGACAAAATATTATAATGTGATATAATATTTCTCTACGAATGTTTTACGAACTACAGCGTAGGTAGGTATACGATAATCGATCAAGTTTTATGCGATGAAGCGCATTTGAGTATAATTGCTTTCTACACGCGTGTTTCCAATGACCGAACATTAAACAAAAACCTTATCACGGTAATACATTTATTGACAAAAACTGCACATCAATGATTGCTTATTAAGATTAAATAATATTTTTTCCAGAGGAAATTAAAAGATTTTTGTGTAGCATTATAACATAGAGGTACCTTCTAGCCTATTAAAATATAATACATATATGTCATATACATACTGTAGTTTAATAGTCTATCATATACTATATATTATATTAATTCATAATACACAACAACAGGCCGTTTTTTTATTTCAGTTATATTTATATTATAAGCATTTGACGGCGCACGCGATCACGTTTTTATAGTTGTAATCTTTTACGTTAAACGTAAAAACCTGTACTACGTTAAATTGAATAAAATAATAATAATTAAGATTGACACCATTTTGGCATATTTAGTTCCTAAGAATTTATATTTATTGCAACGCAGTTCATTACACATTACGCGCGTCCGTCGTTAAACAAATCAGTTTTATAGTGAATTTTTAAATGTACAATAATCAAAACACATAAATTGCAAGCTTAATACCTCTATTCAGTTTGTACAGTTGAAAATTATAATTTTGCGTGTGTACAAACCACATTATATTCAGCTAAATAATAAAAATTATTATTTTTTAAATCTCATGGAATAATTCAAATACTCAGTCACAAGTTATTATCACCATAATATATAATATATACTAACATTTTAATGTTATTTTCAATTATTGAAATATAAAAATATTACTAAATCATATTTAATTAACAATTTATGATTACCATCATAGTAATAATATCTAACGGGTATATCATAATAAGGATTGATAATTATTGAATATAATATGGTCATATTATGTTCGCAACTACCACGTGTACCTATACGCATAAATATATATTATAATGTACAAGATTATTATATTACGTGTAGCCTGAGCACTGTCTGGACAGTGGACATTTCATTTATTTTTATTTTTTTTTATTAGACATATATAATATTTAAGCCTTGATAATATATTGAAAGTCATGGACATAATTGAAGACCAAGACCTTACAACTAGTTTAAATAACATCATAAATTAATTTATGTAAATTTCCTCGGAAAAGTGCGACAAATAAAATATAAATTTGCCCATTTGGGCATGAATACTATATACATTTTAGAAGTATATTTTTTTTAAATTCGGATTACATGATTTCAGATAATTTACGTAATCGATTTAAATGGACTTATATTGAGCAATCGGTATTTTATATATAGCGAACCAAAAAAATATAACATTGGCAACAAAATATTCATAAATTTTTCCGGACACAAATTACACTGCGTTCATACAAAAAATAATAATAATAAAAAAAATCATTTTAATCCGGTAGATATTATTATTTTTTTCTTGAACTTTTTTTTATTATTTTTCATACACATTATAAGATACGCGCGATACTGCTAATGCACTATTCGTGCGTTGACGAGATGGACAAAAATATAATAAATGTAGTAATTTTCTGTTTTATACGCATTGTTACAGGGTGACCACCGGATCGGAATCTCCGACACCCGAGCACGTAATGGCGTCCGAATTGACCTCTGACAAAAAAAAAATAATAATAATAATAAAATACAATAATAGTAATAAAAAACGATAATAACATTGTCTTGTCACCTCAATTGTAGTCACGTCGTCAACACACCGAAGACGTACACCAAAGGTTACTTCAATATAGACGGTGGTATTGGTGATGCCAACCGGTAGAAATACTATTTATTTTTTTTATACAGATATTTTTGAAATTATTCTACTGTAATGTAACCCACCGAAACAACAAAATTATGTCACCAATAAGAAAATAAGAAAATTTCACCATGCAAATACAATATCGCATGCACAACATATATATTACCATTAAATACAATGTATATAATTATATAAGATTATTATTACCTACGTCTTACATATATTTTTAAAACCATTCATTATTATAAATTGTAATTTAAGTAATAAAAAATATTGTGAAGTAAAAAATAAACTAATATTAGGTATGTTTGAAAAAACACGTTAAAGAGTAACGAGTTTTACTACAAAAATATATGAGATAACACAAAATACTGGTGTCTTTTTTATTCGGGATATCAACCACATATATAACATATGTAAAGCTTCAAATTTCAGAAATTCATTATTGAATGAAATTATCAAATAGATACAAAACCGTGTAAAATAATGTACAAAATAAAGAAGATAAATTACTTATCTTTTAAGCTATTATATGCAGTGACATATAATAATAACTATTGTTATTTTAAACCAAAATAATAAGCATTTGATACCGATTGATGTGATTAATATTACTATTAATGTGTTGGCACTATTTACATTTTTGTAAAATCGAAATCATATAATGTTTATTATAATACCAAATATTCATTAGGATTTATTTTATTTGATAAGTGACTACTAATCGACAAATAATGGTATCGTTTTATGTTAAATCGTATCAAACCTATAGAGCAAATTAATACTTTTTCATATATTCTCAGTATCGTGTTCAGCGTGTTAAGTGACGTTTAAAATACACCCGTATCGAGTGCCAACGCTGTGTTTCGTAAATTTTTTTTATATATGTACCTTAAAACATGCCAAACGAACGAAATGAATTATTATCGATTAGAGCGAAAAAAGAACTATTATTTTGTTATGACGTCGCAAAACTGTCAAGCCTTTCTCAACATAGAGCTGCCTCTATCTTAAATATTTCAGTAGTAACATTAAGAAAAATATTGAAAAATCGTAAAGAAATTGAAGGACAAAAATTTGAAAAACCTGTTAAAAAAAAATGCTTTTGCCTACGACAAAAACAAAAAAATGACAAACTATTAATTGACATGGAAATGGGTATGGTTCAATGGTTCGAATATGCGAGATCTTTAAATGTGCGGGTAAGTAAAATGATTTTACTAGATAAAGCTAAAAGTTTAGCATCAATACTTGGAGTTGAACATTTTTCTCCGGATAATAATTGGATACAAAAATGGAAAAACAAATACAATATTGCTGATAAAAGAGTTCAACTAATTGCTGATCAAAATAAAGGTACCAATTTTTCAGCAACAAACAGCGGGTTGATAAAATCAGTTAAGGACTTTTTTGAAAATATTATGTCCAATTACGACGCTAATAACGTGTATAGTTTATTCGAGATTGGTCTTTATTATTGTGACCTGAGAAATTCAAATTGTGAATTCAAAGGACCTCCGTATAAAAAGAAATGTCAAAAATGTATACATAGACTTAGTATTATATTTACGTCCAATATAACGGGAACAAATAAAATGTACCCCAGTATTATAGATAATATTCATATTCCACATTATTTGCAAAATGTAAAAACGTTATCTAAACATTTTCAAGCCAGTTATAATACGTGGATGACGAGCTGCTATGCATCAATTTTAAAACGATGGGATGAAGAGTTAATGGGAAGAAAAATATTGGTAATCATTGACAATGTTATGGTGGATTTACAAATAGAACTGCAAAATATCAAAATTAAATATTTGCCAAGTAGCATAGTATCTGTCCACCCTCTTCGACAGAATATTATGCGTATTGAAAAAACATATGAGTATTATCTAAAGCAAACGAAATCTGCAACCATGAACTCAGTTAATACCGAAACTTTAGCAACTTCTTATAATACCGTTGAAATTTCAGTATCGGATGCCATACATATGATTTTTAATGTTTGGGAAAATATGTCACCAGCACTCATCCGAAATTGTTTCAGGAAAGTTGGTCTTATAAAAACCAAAACCGAAGATACTAATGAAAATTTGTATTTCAATTTCAAACATTGGATTTCAAACTACCGACAATATTTGAGGACAATTTACAATCAATTACAGAGTGAAAAAGATCAATTCATTTCTGCTCAAGATAATCCCCAAAAATCAGACATGCAATTATATACCGAAAATTATGTAGATTATTTAAAGCTATTATCTGAATCTAGTTTTGCTGACAAGAACGTACCAAGTTACTTTCAACAAGATAAACATAATTGACGAACTATTCAAAAACATGGATACCTACAATTTTAAGTATCAGGTATTCGATTTTAAAACAAACTTAATTTTGTTAATAAACTAATTTCTAATTTAATTTATTTTGTATTCTAGGATAAGATAAATATAGGCAAACATGCAATACGTAAGTATAGCATAAAATCAACACTACCCGTAAGAACTGGTATTTTTAATTATAAAATAAATAAAATAATTATAAATTGCTTTAGAACCATGATAATTCTATTATTATTATTTTATAGTTTTATTGTGTAAGTGATTTTTTTACAAAAAATATTTGATTTAATCAAATTATTGTACATAAATTTAAGCAACATAAATTCTCAAATATACGAATTAATTTATTATGACTTAATTATAATTAATTCTGAGTATTTAGTATTAAATAAAATAATTTTTATATTTTATTATTATCCATTATACATTCTAAATATCGTTAAATATAAATATTTACCGGCTAGAGATTAACAATTGATTTAGTTTCACTTAATGATATTAATTATCATTGAATATTATTATGAAAGTAACGAGTATACTACTAGAATTTATTAATATTTTTTTAAAATTATTTTTCATTTGAATAGATACATAAAAATATTAATTATTCGTACCATTATGTACTTTCAAATGTCATTCAAAATCATAATAAAATGTTAATGAAAGAATACATATATACACCTACTGATAAAACTAGTTTAGATATTGCTGACAATTACAGAAATAATGTTTAAAATTGAAATATTAAAAAAAAAAAACAAAATAAATAAATAAGTTTTAACGGAAATAAAGACACTACAATGTAAACCCATCTATATTACACAAATTTTGTTTAACCAATACGATAATAGATAAACATGGATTTAAACACTTAGTACTTAGTACCTAGGTATAATTTAACGTAATTTAATTAAATTTATTATTTATTGTTTTCTCTTTTAAAAATAATGCAAAACAATTAATTAGAAAATAAAATTGTATTATCATAAATAATATCTAAGGCCAATAAAACAATTACACGAAGATGCATCAAAGTGATAATAATAACTTATGATCATGACTTGACTACACCTAATGACTACTTTTTCACATTACTCAGTATATATTATGATGTAATAATTAGGTAGTACATTTAAGAAAACAATTAAAATAATAAACATTAAATGAGTTGCATCAATAATAATAATTATAAAAAATAAATAGTACTCCTATTTTGTTTTTATGTTTAAATATACAAAACTGTTTAAATAAATACAGATCTTCTTATAATATAATAATTAACGGATTACTATTTAAAAATAAAAATTGAGTAAGAAAAAAGTTTTTGATCAAATTACTCCTATAAGTTTACAATATAATTTTAAAACGTTTAGGTTATATACCTATTACTTAGCTATTACCTATTGTACCTATGTCCGTATAGGCATATAAAAGATGTAATAGCGCCTATAGGCTATATATTATAATAAATAATAACAGGATAAGGTACATAAAATATTCGTGAAATTATTGTGCTTAGTAAATTGTAAGTCAAAATTTTATCGACGCATTTTTATATGTATACAATTCAAAATTAATCACACATTTGCCTTACATGATTTTAATACTATTTCTTTTCACAAACATTTATTTATTGAAATGTATCTACATTTTGAATATTAAAAAAAATTGTTTAATAATGTATTATTTTATATTGGTTATGATTAATTGTAATTTATTCACAGTAATAAATAATATTATACCATCAAAATATAAACGGTTTTTGCATTTATTATTTACTATGTAGTTTATAAAATATTTAGGGTGCTTTTTCATTGTAACCTAATTTTATTAAAAAATATACCATTTCTTATGGACTGTAAAAATAATGTTTCTCATGAATTGTCGAAAACTTTGGCAAACACTTAAATTTTCAATGTATGATTTATATTTGATATTAATAAATAAATCTTCTATCAGAACTACATTTAAAAATAAAGATAATGTTTTTTCAATTAATCTGATATTTTTAGGGCAAATATTTTATTAATAGTTTGTCATATACGTAATAATAATCGCGTTTATTTCTAAGACCTTTAAGTCTACGGTTTGTTGTCTTTAATATATTATAATAGATATGTCATTATGTGTAAATATATATAGTTATGTGCATAAAATAAATATTATCGTCAATAATTGACATATTATTATTTAAATTATAATAATTATCCATTTCAGTACCGTTTTATAATATACATTACGTGGCCATAGTTTTAATATAAACTTTACAACTAATTACTATCAACATCTGAATGTAGTATATACATATGTAGTTACTACTCGGGTAGTATAATGTACATTATACCATCCGAGTACATTATTAGATCTTTGACGATGTTATTGGATTAAAGGAACGTTCAGTTCTATTACATATTGTCGTTAGCATCGAATTTTTTGCAATACAACATTGTTTATACATATAAATATAAGTCACGCATAATTTTATTCGTCAATAGACAATATTCAGTTAAGTTATACTGTAATCATTTTATGCGAGCATTTCAGGTATAATTGTGACTCAAGACAGTGTCAACTGTATCTAGAACAAGTAATTACGAACTTAGACGCATACACAACGTGTAAAATGTTCATATTATTATCCTCTGGAAACAATCAATTACACTTAAGTTACGACAGGGGATGAAAGATATAATATAATAGCTGGTATTATATAAATAAGGTACATAATGAGGTTTATATTAAATGACCTTTTACTTGAAAAAAACACATAGATTAAGCCATCTATCAACTTGACAAAACTTTAATATAATATATTGATTCCACCGGCTTATGTATTATACATTATTAAACACTTAAACTGACATATTTTATATCAAAATAATGTTACTAAAAATTTAAAACATTCTAACTGTAATATGTATTCATATTTATTTCAGTCAAATAATGATGACGATTAATAAAAAAAATTGATAGATTTACTTATATTTAACTAACATCAAATTAATCTACATAAAGCTAGCACTACACATTCATCACATTAATTTAAAATCATTCCAAGAAACAATTCTCGGACTTATAGGACGTTTTTGGACGACATTGTTAAACAATAGTTGAAATTTGTTCAAAAGTTTTTAAAAAAAATTCTTATATAAATTATATGAGTAGTATTTACAGTAAGAGTTCTGTGAAAAATCCTTATGATTCTTTTTTTTTTTAATATATATAATTTTATTTTTATTTTAATACTATTGTATGCTTTTAATGCACTTTTAAACTTTACACTCTATAAGCCCAAAAAGTTATCCAAAAAATGTCAAACAACATCCAACAATTCGGATAATAATTTGTTGGAATAGTATTAGATTAATGTGCTACCATGTAGCTCACGTAGATATCAAATCATATCTTAAAAAATTACAATTTAATTTAATTTTTTATTTCACATTTACACTTATTTTATATCATTATTTACGATCTATAATATCTATATTATGTAGGTAGTATAATATCTCATGTTCTCACATCAAAATAACATTTAGACAACTATTTTCTGTTTAAAAAAAGCCAAAAAAATATTTTTATAAACATTTCTCATCTTCTAAACCTTTATGATAATTTAATTTATTTCCTATTATTTTCATTTAGACTTTATTTTGATCAAACAAAATATAAAAGGGTCATTTAGAAGAAAAATTTAAAATTTAAAATTTTTATTAAGTAGTGTAGTCACAGCTAGTTTTACTATTCCTCATTGAAAAACATATTTTTTTTACATCCAATAATAATATATGCCATGTCATTTAAACCCTTTTAACATGTAGCGATCGATTTATTATTATAAAATATTTTGTACATGTATAAATGTAATAGGCAATCGCACGCGCACAAGAAATCATTGGAAGCGACTAGGATGACGTCGATCCCGTTAAAACTCGAATAAAAAAGTGTATGTGTGTGTGTAATACGCGAGCAACTGGTTTTGCGTTTTCGGAGGGCGGTCAGACATTTTATATTATTATTTCTCATGAAACTTCTCTGGCGGAATGTTGGGTGGTACGCGCGCGAGGTTTCGCGGTACGCAGCCGCCGGCGAAAAAAGCGATAATTGAACGCACCCGCGCTAGTTAACGCGGCGACGGCGGTAGCACCAAATCGCAGTATATACGATATTATATATTATATTATATGTATTAACAGTTGGCCAATTAACTCGGGGGCCACTAGATTTTAAATCGTACATTTAGAAATTTCGTTTTTTTTTTTTTTTAATGAGTTCCATTACTATATCTCCAAGCGATCTGTATTATAATTTATAATTTAGTAATAATATTGTATATATGATGTTGTACACACGCGCTCCCGGGTTGACACATTACCACATATCACATACGTATATAATAGGTATATAGTGCATAATATATACTAGTTGAAAGTTTATACAGAGTGATTCACTAAGTATGTTCACCCCCTTTTTTCACTTAAATAACGCAGTTAATCAAAATCTGATTTTTATACTACTTGACTTACTTTAATTTTATAAATTTAAATCAAAATTTGATAAGTCAAACCTGTAACTATCAAAATCTATCATGAATTATTCTTTTAACATTGGACACTTCATATTATTTAGAGTGAACGTCGACAATATTTAAAATATAGACTCATTGTAGTACAAATTTAATATTTTAATTAATAGATTAAAACAAACTACGAATATTCATTTTTTTTAAGTGAGATATTAGAAGTTACAACATTACCCATATCGAAATAGTGAAAAACGTTCTTTAATCCGTGAGTAATTGTAACAATAACCATTTATTATTTAATGTAAATTCCTAATACATTCATAATAATTATATACAAAATTGACATTTTTATAGATTAAACTAATACTTAAATAAAAAGACACCAAGTCTGCAAATGACATTGTTTTAGCAAATTATAAAACTATTTCAAGTATTACTTTTAACATTTTCATTGATTTAATATAATATTAAACTAATATTATGAACTGCAGCAATTGTTTTGCATACTAAATGAAATGTGAATTTAAACTCTGTTTTAAATAATTTAATATTACACAATTTGTATATTTTTAATAGAACGCTCATTATATTAGGTACGATTACATTATAATAATTGGAAAAATCACTATAGTATTAGAAAATTAAATTTTAAACGAAT